CACATTAAATGCATGAATAACCAAGGAGGATGAGTTGATATTAAACTAATTAGACTAATAAATTAGAGTAATGAAAAACAAGCAAGCAAAACGAGAGCTAAACGAGAAAATATGGAAATTTATACTACCGGAGTCTCTACTACTCAAAATAAAATGGAAACAACTAAAAGAAATATGCAACCACTAAGCCCTAGATAAGCAACCTTTAAAACTAGATAAGCAAGTAATTAACTACTCTAATCACTTTGGCAAACACTAAAAACAAAAAGCTCCAAACTTTCCCTCATTCATCAAGCAAACACCCAAATTTACTTTGAAAATAATTCCTAAGTAAAAACGAGGCAAACACGAGGTAATGAGGCTAGAAGCTAGTAACCACTCCTCCATCTAGACGAGAATCGAAACAAAAAGCTTGAAACTTGAATTAAAACGAGGATGTCCGAAAGTCGTCGGGAAATGATGCCATAGAGCTCAAATCATAAAATAGAGAAGAAACTAAAAATGAGAGAATAATTTCTAAAGTAGAAAAATGACAAATGAAATCTAGGTGCCTTCATCACAAAAGGGATTAAATGTATATATAGTAGCTCAAAAACACACACTTGGTGCACACACAATTAAGTCGTTGGTCTCAAAACTCTTTTGCTGCGAGTGTGAGAGTGGAATAGTGCAGGAACTGGCGCGCTAGCGGGTCGCAAAACTGAACTCGCTGCGAGTGCCGGGGTTGCGACTGTCTCGCGCGCCTACTCGCGGTTGCGAAACCAAACTCGCTGCTAGTGTTGGGGTTGCGACTGTCTCGCGCGCCTACTCGCGGGTTGCGAGTACAGGGGATTCTGTGGACGGGATCATGCAGGTCGCGACTCGAAGCTCGCAGCGAGTGCAGCTGCTGGGCAAGGGGTTCTCGGGCGCTCACGAAACCATGTTTGCTGTGAGTGACCGACTGACTCGGGCCCGACTCGCGTGCTCGCGAAGGGAGTTTCTCGACGAACGTGGATAAGTCTTGGCTCCTTTGCTCGGATAACTCAATCGGCAATCTCTTTCTCGGAAGCTCGAGTGGCTTGATCAAATGCCTCGACTAACTTATCTCGGAATGGCTCAAATGATAGCTCGGGTGGCTCGTCTTGCAATGGCTCAGCATCGAAAACATCAACAATAGCTCAGACAATGGCTCGTCTTCCCAAACGTGCATATAGAGGACCTAAGCACATCAAAAGAGACAAGAAAATATGTCAAAATAAATAACACATGACAAAAACGAAAACACATAAAACACGATAAAATTGACCGGTTGACACTAAAACGAACCTAAAAATGACTCGACTAAGGTACATAAAACACAAGAAAACACCAGAAAAACATAACAGACGACACTCCAGTACTGACGCTGCTTTGCATACCGAAACACCACACTTGAATACCTGCAACGCTTCGCATACCAAGGCGCCATCTTCACCGTATCACTTATGTTCCAACGGCCATGAATCGCTTGGCTTTTTGACGTAGCAATTTTAGCCCAATAAATTGGTTTCCTTCCTCAATTTTTTGTCTTTTTCTTATCTCTATAAACTTAAGTAGTTGTATACGTAATATTCTAGCATACTTAATGGTACGTAAAAGACTTTCGACAGCTGGAATCGATTTGCTCTTGAGCTCCTCCGCTGGTTGAACGGTTTTAGACCTGTAAAAAGTCTTAAGTTTTCCAGTGAAGAACCTCTGATGCTTTAATAAATACTTGTAGAAGATAAAGTGTAAAAAGTAATGGCTATAATTGCACCTCCCACCTCTATTTATATGAGTGGGTTACTTGCTTCTAGAAGCCTGCCCAGAATGGTTGAGCTGGCTGCCCAAGCTGCCCGATAGTATAACCTCACTACCTAGAATGTCAGGGGAAATTATATGGTGAGGACCAATCAGGTAACGCCACGTATCTTTGCCCGTGTGCGGTATTAATTACCACACGATTCTTGTTTATCTTTTAATCATTTGTATCAAACCATTTGATGGCGTAATCAGATGGAGGCTTGCTGAGATAGAATATTGACAATCTTGGGTCGAGTTTTGTCCCCTCTAGTCGATCGTCCGACCAACCGTACTTAAAGGTCGAGCTTCTGTTAAACCAGCCGAGGGCCCTAGCTTGACTTGTTGTTGTTGTCCTGTACCCCTTAGTTTGTCTCCAGATTGAAGGCTCTTAGTCCTGTACAGGTGATGTTCGACCACCACTGACCCTGATGAAAGTTCTGCTCAACCAAGTAACTCGCTCGCCCTAGTTGACCGGTTCATTCCCTCAAGTAAGATATCTCATGTCATCTATTCCCCTCCCCACTCTTCATTATCTTTAATTGGTATGCGTTGCTCCTGAATTTTTTACCTGTCTATCTGAAGTTCTTCCCCTTTTGCTCTATCGTACCTTTTTTACCATGTTACTTATTGCATGTGTATCGGTCTCTTCCCACCATAGCCATCACTTCAAAATTTGAATTTCAATTCTCCATCCCATCGGGCCTACGTTTCTATCAAACCCGTCAATTGAAGTGTCAAGCTGACGTCACTGCCCCATGAATCGCATTTCCTCATGCATTGTTCTCATTGAATGCTTTATTTAAATCGACCGTTGGATTTAACACCTTTAATCTGACGGTTCATGATCAAGTTCCTTTTCACCTAGCCGCCGCATATGAGCCGTTAACTCTCTATCCCATCCAATGCCCTGAAGGCCTACCCAACACCTTTGCCTATTTGAAATCTTCACTGTTAATCATCTTTTTCATCCAATGGTCTCAACTTGACCGAATTTTCCACTTACCCGCCTTCTTGCTTATAAAATCCCTAAGGCCCCTAACCTTGGTTTTTTTCCAGTTTCCCACCCTTGCGAATTTTCGGTACACTTTTTTTTTGTTTCCCTACAATTTCCCCGTTCTTTCGGAGCAATTCTCGGCTCTCCGACTTAATTTCACAGGTCTTCTGTTGCTTTTCCTACCGATCTTTCTTCCTCCTGCAAAGATGAGTAAGTACTTCGATCTCAAAATTTTTGCTTCTCATTTAAATTATTGGATTTCACTCTTTTGAAATTTATGTCCTATTTGTCGGCCACAACTTTTTTTTTCTTGCCTTCTTCTTATCTCCTAGACCTTAAAATTTATTTTTTGATTTTTAGTTTTTCAGATTCCAGCACTTCCAGCGACAAAGACCACTTTTTCGTAAAGGATATGACTCTTTCGTCCTCCTCCTCGACCTCTCAACCTCAACCCTATTCTCCGACCACATCTGTTCAAGAGATCCTTCAACCTACTCCTATTTTTATCCTCCATCCCCAAATCTTTGTTCAAACTCATCGTACCCATACGACTTCACCTAATTCCTCATTTCCTTGCCGACCTTTCCACCTAGTTGATGAGTATGATGCGGACGTCCATTAGAACCTTCCACCCCTTCGTCGCTCTCGTCGGCTTTTTGAGTTGTACGGCATGCATGAGAAAGAAGACCATGAGGTCCTTTAACCCAATCCAATATCTTCGGCTTATCCCTTACCCGTTTCGACCTCTGAAGTTGGTCCTTCTATTGATCGTCCCCTTTCTCCTTCTCAAGCCAAACCCACCCTCACGCTCTCATCGTCGCCCTATTTGGTGGGTGGATGACGTTGACGAAATTGGTCATCCTCGTAATTGGGCATTTTACAATCCAAGGGCCACAGACACCTATGATCGACCTCCCGAGGGTTGTTATAGCCAATTCTAACTAGGTCTTCGCTTTCCTCTTTGCCCCGCGTTACTTGAACT